CTGGGAGGTGAAAAGCTACTGTTTGCCATGATTCCCGAATCCAATTAGACATTAGTGATACTACCTAAAGAACTTATTGGGTGTACACATAACCCATGGACACTCAGTTTTATGTTTCTCTCTGTCTTTCCCTTTCTCTTCCACATTTTCTAAAAATCAATGGAAACATATCCTCAGGTGAGGATAAAAAAAGAAGGAAAGAAAGAAATGTCATATCCTATGAAAGACACATCTTGAAAATGCCTAAAGAAAGTTGTCATTTTTTCATTGTGAAGGGACTGGAGTCCGTGTTGATGAAAAAACCTTGGTGGCTGCGGTGATTGGCAGTGGCTGCAGCAGCGGAGTGATGGGGCTGGTGCCTTCCTCTGATCAGTCTGGTTGCCTCCCACAAAGGGAGGCCAGACTGCAGCTTAGGCCCGCTCCCCAAGCGGAGCAGAAAGCAGGCCTAAGCCATCAGTAGGACATCCCCTGAGGGCTCCCAGTATGTGAGAGGGGGCAGGCTGGGCTGAGGGACCTCCCCGGGTGCACAAATTTCATGCATCAGGCCCTTAGTAAAGAACTATAAAATAGCCGAAACCGGTTTGGCTCAGTGGAAAGGAATAATGTGAAAGAAGCTGGGTGTCTAGAGGAGGGTCATCTTTAGCGCTCTTGCATGGATTTCAGGAACCCTGGGGTATGGAAAAAAGGAAGCAAGCTATGATGACCACTTTCTGGATTATGTTTTTAAGAACACTTTACTAAACTATAAAGCTTTAGAAAGCATTATACAAGTGAGAGGCAAAAAAAAAAACATACTCCCTACCGAAAGCCAATTTTGTCAATATACCATAAGCCTCTAGATAACTTACGTATAGAAACTGGTGAAAACGGCAATCATTAAAAAAGGTAGAGGACATCTTAATTCATTTATCTTCAAACAATGTAATACATAATGAAACTAAAGCAAATACTTTTCTTTAAGCCCTCAAAACTTAGATATTGATTGATTGATTTAACATTATTGGTATTATTGATGAAATAATTAAATATAGTTGCAATTCTTCAACTATGTCTCTGTGCTCCATAACATTCTGGAGAGGTGGTGGAGGCTTTATTAAAAGGTCTTAAAACAAATTCCTAGCTATGATAGAAATATTTTAGGGCACTAATAGAAACAGAGCACCCGGACAGACCTTTGAGGAGACTTTAGTGTAGATGTCAGATTCTCAATGAGAACAACTATTTCAATGTCACTGAAGTAGTTGGCAAAAATTCAATTGCTACTTAAAAATCAAGTGAGTCATGTTTAACGGTGTTATTTTGACAGGACAGTTCGTTCTAGTCTCTGGTTTATACAACAATCTCTCAATTTCAGATTCTTAGGGAAGCCCAGCCAGTGTGGCTCAGTGGTTGAGTGTTGACCTATGAACCAGAGGACAGGGTTCAATTCCTGGTCAGGCACATGCCTGGGTTGCAGGGGTTGCAAGCTCGATTCCCAGTGTGGGTGTGCAGGAGGCAGCCAATCAACAATCCTCTCTCATCATTGATGTTTCTATCTCTCTCTCCCTGTCCCATCCTCTCTGAAATCAATAAAAATATTTTTAAAAACAAGATTCTTAGGGAAAACTGTTAAATATCAGGCACTTTGCCCAAGACAAAAGAACTTAAGACACAGCCCAAAAGGAGATCACATTTTCATTGGGGAGGTTAAGGATAAAGGCATGCAGAACTAAACAGCATATAATAGACTATAGTGCAGGGATAATGTAGAGAGGTAATAAATTAGCAAATGACTATCACAGTTAACACAAGAAATTTAGGTTAACTAGGTATCCTAGAATGAGAGGGAAATGAATCCTTAATTGGCCAAAGGGAAGCTCGAGAATAGGGCTAGGAAACAGAAGATAAGGGCTTTTTACTTTGGACAGGGTGGAGGGTGGTGTGTGAGCGATAGGATTATATAGACAATTCAGTAACCTTGGGCATGATCCAGATCTGGGGTGGGCTCCTTGTTTGGGATAACTCAGTTAATTCTGGGCACAAATATTTTCCCCTTAAAAATGTTTTAATATACTTAAGAAAAGATTTTTTTACAATTATGCTATCACTCTGTACACTGTAAAATAAAACACTGTTTGTAGTAATCTAGTTTGGATCCATTTTTTTTCTTTAAATATCTTATTGATTTTTTATTGAGAAGAAGGGAGAGGGATAGAGAGTTAGAAACATCGAAGAGAGATACACTGATCAGCTGCCTCCTGTACACCCCCCCCCCCAATGGGGATGTGCCCACAACCAAGGTACATGCCCTTGACTGGAATCGAACCCGGGACCTTTCAGTCCGCAGGCTGACACTCTATCCACTGAGCCAAACCGGTTAAGGCTGAAATGTCTTCTTTATTGGGGGAAATTACCCAACAACTGCTATAGGATTAAGTCAAAGTGTTGTAAATATCTGTTAATCTAGATCAGTGATGGTGAACCTATGACACGCGTGTCAGAGGTGACACACGAACTCATTTTTTTGGTTGATTTTTCTTTGTTAAATGGCATTTAAATATATAAAATAAATATCGAAAATATAAGTCTTTGTTTTACTATGGTTGCAAATATCAAAAAATTTCTATATGTGACACGGCACCAGAATTAAGTTAGTGTTTTTCAAAATGCTGACACGCCGAGCTCAAAAGGTTCACCATCACTGATCTAGATACAAGTTTTAGTGACTTTTCATTCTCACACTCATCATTAATGTACATTTCACTGATGTCTAATTGGATTCAGGAATTGTGGCAAACAGTAGCTTTTCACCTCCCAGTACATGCGTTCGTCTTCACCCCTTGCAGAGAAGTGGGGCCTTGCAATGACTTTTAGAAAATGGAAAAAGATAAGAGCGTGTGTCTTCCTGGTGTTGGCCTTCAGTGCTCAGGGTGTCTCTTCAATGCTCCCTCTTTCTCTACCTGTAGTGACCCAGAGCTGTGACAACACATGACTGAGGGAGTTAGATCCCTGGGTGGGTAATGGAGCAGCGCCCTGCTGGCTTACAATGCACTTTACAAGAATAAGCACCTGAGATCAGCACAGCATAGCAGGGCCACTCTGGTCAATGCAGTGGTCCCTTGTACCTCAATGAAAGCTCTGCTGAGCATCTTTTCAAGATATGGAGATAGATGAGCAGTACAGAGATATGCAAACTACAACTTTATTTCCAAACTAGAGGCTCGGTGTAGAAAATTCATGCACTGGTGTGTGTGTGTGTGTGTGTCCCTCAGAGCCCGACCTGTGCCCTCTTGCCATCCAGGACCACTCGGTCCTTACAGCCCACTTGCTGGCTGCTCCTTAGCACTGCTATAGAGTTGGTAGAGGCTGCAGACACCGCCACTGGGCTCTGCAGCCGTGAGCCCTGCTTCTGGCTGAGCAGTGCTCCCCCTGTGGGAGCACGCTTACCACCAGGGGCAGCTCCTGCATGGAGCAACTGCCCTCTGGTGGTCAGTGTGCGTCATAGTGACCGGTTGTTCCACAGTTGAGTCAATTTGCATATAAGGATTTTATTATATAGGATATTTAAACAATACGTATACAGGCATACAAACAGAAGCATATTCTCAAAGATTGGAAATGTCACTTAATGCCAAAAATGAGTATGTGACGTTTGTATATCTACAGGGATTGTCACAGGTAGGTTTACAGCCCTGGCCGGGTGGCTCAGTTTGTTTGAATGTGATCTCCTACGTCAAAGATGTCACAGATTGGATTCCCATTCAGAGCAGAGTTTTCAGGTTCAATTTGGTCAGTGCAAGAACAGGAACCCACTGATTGGTGCTTCTCTCTCACATGGAAAAAATAATAAAAAGTAAATACTATATATTTCTTTTTAAAAACATAAATTTTCTTGATTTCACAAAGGAAAAGAGAAAGACATAGAAACATCATTGATGAGAGAGAATCATCAATTGTCTGTCTCAGCACGCCTCCTACTGGGAACTGAGCCAGCAACCAGGGTGTGTGCCCTTGACTCCTGGTTCATAGGTCAATGCTCAACCACTGAGGGAGCATCACTGGTTGGCCTAGAATATCTTTCTTACCGAAACTTCTGACTTAGGTCAGTGAAATATACAACACAGCCTCCATGGCACTCACCACATGCAGAACAAAGCTGCAAGGACACCTTTGCCTAGGGAATCAGGGTGTGTTACAACCCAAAGCCAGAGGAGGAAGCCCTGGTTGGGGGGCCTCCATATCTGGAAAATCCATGCAAGGTGGTGACCAGCTTGCATAGTCAGGGTGGAGCCATCCAAAATTGGTTTCAAATGTTCACACTGATGATGACTCACAGTGAAATATAACACAGCCTCCATAGCACTCACCAGATGCAGAACAAAGCTGAAAGGACAGCCTTGCCTAGGGAACCAGGGTGTGTTACAACCCAAAGCCAGAGGAGGAAGCCCTGGTTGGGGGGCCTCCATATCTGGAAAATCCATGCAAGGTGGTGACCAGCTTGCATAGTCAGGGTGGAGCCATCCAAAATTGGTTTCAAATGTTCACACTGATGATGACTCACCACATACCAGAAGAGTATGAAAGAGTTTATTACATGATGAAGCTTTGGGCGGAGACAAGGCTGGGTATTACAGTAGGTCCCAGAATGACTGAGAGTACAGGGAAAGGGACTAGCTTGTGGTGTTCATGGCAGGTACTGGGTGTTGTTGGCAGAAGCTTGTTTGATTGACACTTTCCCCTACCCCCAAGGGTAGCACACCTGGACTTTCTCATCAGCTTTCCCAGGTTTAAGGTCAGGGAGGAGAAGGGTGCCTCCTACAAACTTGCAACATTCAAACATCAAAACTGGAATCAGGCTCTTTATTATAAGTATTCCTTTCAACAGCAAGGGTAGAAACTAAGCGCATACAAAGTTTCTTTCAAATTTGCCATCACTAGACTCTGATGATACTGGCTGTAAGAGATTCTGAAGATACAATGGAGAAGTAAGGCATAAGTTTTCCTGTAAATGTAGCCGTGATTCAGTACAACAATGAGCAGGTCTTCAAATTATAAAATGAAACCTCTCCCAACTCATAGTCCAGAAAAACACCAACCTCTTTTGGAATAGAGAAAGGGCCAAATGTATGAGTCCAGCAGCCATTGCTTGGCGATGGTGATATGAGAGTATTTATGGGGAAAGATTCTTTACACACACCTAAGGAACAGTCACCTGTGACTCCTATGGTTACCATCCAAAAATGCCTGCCAGCATCAAATCCCTCAGAACTCCGGACAGCTGGGTTAGAAGTAAGTGCCTGGGGATTAAGAATGCGATCTGGTTTCCAATATGTCGCCTGTTTTCCACTTATTGAGATAAGGAGGTCTGGATGGGCAGTTTCCGGATCCAGTGTCAAATCTGCCTGAAATGTGCGGATCATTTTATGCAGGCCCAAATAATGTGGGGGGAGAGTGAAAATCTCTTTCTTTAATTTATATGAAAAGATGGCCGAGGATTCTATGTTTTCATAGCTGTTGTGGATACTTTCAATACCTGTGAGTAAATCCTCATCCGTCTGCAAACACTTCTCTTCTATTTCACTTAACCGATTGCTTAGCCTGAACCTATGATATGAAATTTGCCTTACATTTTCTATTAGTTTTTCTTCAACATTATTCTCTTCTACAAGTAGATCATTATCAAATTCATTGTACTCTATTTCCAAGGAATACTTAAGATCATTACATTCATAGTCCAGTTTATTCCCCCATTTAGTCATCTTTCTCTTCACTGCCAAAATATTTGTACCTTGGTATTTATATACCTTTACAGCATCTTTAAGGTGTTCAGTGAGGACCTCAATGCAGCTTTTGAGCATCCCCCTCTGACTAGCTGCAGCTTCTTCAATGGGGATCAGGGGCTGATCCGGGGGGTCTAAGGAGCCCTTGCACTGGGGACACAGCAGCTCCAGGCTTTTCTCACAGAACAGGGTGAGAACCTCATTGTGCTTCCCACACAGGGGCATTTCTTCCTGCATTTTCCTCTGGCTCCCTGAGGTGGGGATCTGCTGAACAATCTCAGTCATGTGACATAATTGGGTGTTCCTCTCCAAGCTGCTGTCAGGGCAGTGGTGGAGGCAGACAGGACAGGGAAAGGTGCCCTGTAGACCTTCCCAGCGCTGGTGGATGCAGGAGGGACAGAAGTTGTGCCCACAGGAAGTGGTCACTGGGTCTCTCAGGTAATCCAGGCAGATGGGACATTTGAAT